TCTTGCCTCAAAGGTGCAGCAACAGGCATAGAGCGAAAGTAACAAGTTTCCCAAGGATGACCCTCCCAGGCCCGCCCACCTCACAGCCTTTCTGGGCTATAGGGAAGGCATAACCAACATCATGAGTGAAGTGGATAAGCTGACATCTAGGGTGAGGAAGAAAGAATTACGGAAGCCGTGACCATTGTGGAGACACCATCTGAGGAGTTTATCGGCACTGTAGGCTATGTGGAAACCCGTTGAGGTCTCTGGGCCTTCAACACTGTCTTTGCAGAGCATATTAGTGATGAGTACAAAAGGCATTTCTGTAAGAACTGGTATAAATCTAAGAAGACGGCCTTCACCAAGTACTGCACGAAATGGCAGGGTGACACGGTCAAGAAGCAGCTGGATGAGGACTGCAGCAGTGTGCGGAAATACTGCCAGGTCCTCTAAATTACAGCCCACAGCCAGGAGTGTTGGCTTGCCCACTGCAAGGAGAGCCCAGTGAATGAGAGCAATGTGGCCAGGATGCTGGACTGGGCCCAAGAAAGGCTGGAGCAGCAGAGCCCCGTGAGCCAGGTGTGGGCAGGACAAGATGATCGATGTCATTGGGGTAACCAAAGACAAAGGCTACAAGGGGTCACCAGTAGATGGCACACTGAGAAACTGCCTTGCAAGACCCACTGAGGTCTGCACAAGGTTGCCTTATTGGAGCATGGCATCCTGCCCTTGTGGCCTTCTCTGGCACAGGCTAGGCAGGAAGATTACCGTCACCCACAGAGACCAAGAAGATCTACAGGATTCATCAGGGCTACCTCATCAACTACAGCCAGCTGATCAACTATCACAGCCTGTCTAACAAGAGCTTCAACCCTCTGGGTGACTTTGTCCACTACAGTGAAGTAACCAATGCCTTTGCCCTGCTGCAAGGCTGTGTGACGGGAACCGAGAAGCAGGTGGTCACTCTCTGCAAGTCCTTGCTGTAAACCAAACAACAGACTCTGGAGAAGTGTGACCTCAAGTGCGTTGACCCCACCTCCACGATCGGCCACTGCTGCTTCCAGACCACGGAAAAGAAGAGGGCATTTGCGGGACCACTCAAGAAACACCACATTGCCAAGGAGCGAGGCACCTAAGAGGAAGAACACCCCTGGCAGCCGGTGGAGTCTCCCTGTTTTCCAGTGGGGGTAAAAAAAAGAGTTGAGAGACCAGAGATTATCAATTGATTTCAGCAAAGGTGCCAGAGTAATTAGCCATTTTAACAAATGGTGCTGGAATGTCCACATCCAGAAGAATGAAATTGAACAAAAAACTTTTGGGCTTCAAAGTGTACCAACCCTATAACTGGAGAATTATGTAACAGTTTGCAAATAATTTATCTGTGATGCTTTAAAAGTCATATAGATTTTTCAATGATAAAATAAGGGGCAAAGGATTTGAATAGACACTTTTCTAAATAAGATATGTAGATGTCTCGCAGTTGTGTGAAAAGATGATTGACATTTTTGGCAACCAGAAAAATGCAAAAGGAAATCACAAGATACCACTTTATATCCACTCAGATGATTGAAATTTTTAAAAAAGACATAATAACAAACGTTGGTGAGAGCGTGGAGGAAGTGAAGCTCTTATACATCGCAGGTGAGATTACAAAATGGTGCAGTCTCTTTGCAAAACAACATTTCCTGAGAATTTAAACATAGAGTTGCCATATGATCTGGTACTTCCACTTGTAGGTACACTCCCGAAGAAATGAAAAGATGTATATTCAGAAGTTTGTGTATGAACATTGACAGCAGCACTAATAGCGAAAAAGTAGAAACAACCTCAATACCCATCAACAAATGAATGGATAAACAAAATATAGTATAGCCAGAAATTACTAGTGATCAACAATACAAAAGAAATGAAATACTGATACATGGTACCACATAGATGAAATGTGCAAATACTGTAGCAAGTAAAAGAAGCCAATCACAGAAGACTACATATTCCATGATTCCATTTATACAAAATGTCCAGAATATGCCAATCTGTAAGGCAGTACATGAGTGGTTCCCAAGATTGAGGGGTGGACAGTTACAGTGGAGAGTGATGGCTAATGGGTATAGGACTTCTTTTGAAGTAATGAGAGTATCTTAAAGTGTGGTAATAGTTGCATAGTTCTGTGACTGCACCAGAAGTCATGAATTACACATGCTAAGTGGAAAGGCTTTCTATTTTCTTAGTAGTAATAGCCTAAGGAAACCCATTCGTTCATTCAGTCCTCTTTAATATTGAGTGACCCTGTGCTAAGAGGGCACTCTTTTACATGCTGGGGAAACATCAGTAAATTAAAGTAGTTAAATATAATGATTGAGGAGTTTTTAAAGGGAGAGTCATAATAATGTGTTTTGCAAATATTTAAGTTTTTTTTAAATTACACTAAAAGACACATTGTCATTACTGTCCCTTAGAAAATTCCCACTTGATCCAAACACACTCATCATCCTTGCCACTTTCTGCAGCAGTTCTGCAACTCCTTTTATGATATAACGTCAATTCATAAAGTAAAGACACCGATGATTCAGTGGCTGACAAGTTTCAGTATAAGGTGGAATATTATGTACTCATTTAAAATGTAAATTTTCAATTACCTTTTATATATAATTGTTACTCTTTTGCTCTTTTAAAAATAATTTGTCTCCCCCAGCATGCTGTGCTGGCTCCACCCCCAGGGCACACTGAGACAATGATTGAGAATGGGCGTGGTGGCACACACCTGTAATCCCAGCACTTGGGAGGCTGGAAACAAGAGAATCACTATGAGTCCAATCTACTTAGTGTGACCCTGAAGACCCTGTAGACCGTGTCCTAAATACAGAAAAAAAAAATGTTTTGTTTCATATTTTAAAAAAATAAAATGTAAATTTTCGCTGAAGTTATTGATGTAAGAAACTTATAGTATATAATATGAAGCATATAAAATGCTATATATGTGAACTATTAGAGGCCTGCTATGAAATCAGTGTTATTTTTGTAGGTAATGGTGTTGAGTTTTTACTCTTGACCCATCTTTCTATTGATGGCTGTTCATTGTTTTTCTGAATTTCACAACTCTCTTACAGTAAGACACATTACAGGATCTTTATCATTCTAAGCACTGTCAGCATCCTTTGCTCCAAGTTGCCATTCATACCAACCAAAAGCATTGAGCCTTTCGTACTTATTTGGAGAAATCATTTTGGCTGCTGAATAAAACTGGTATTTTTCGTGTACCAGTAGAGTTTGGAATTGTCTTAACTTTAGAGAAGAGGAAAACTAACTGAAAAATGATCATCTGTATTTGGGGCTGGGTTTTTTTCCCCCCATGGCATGTTTTTAGGTTCAAATTGGATGCATTCTGCTTATTTTGTTGTCAGTAGGGTTTTCTTACATGAAGGATCCTTCGTGAATGGTGTGTATCAGGGTTATTGGTACATGATTTCATTACATGATGCCCACAATCGTTGTGGATAATGGATACATGCACCTAACACCTCTGGGTGCTTTTTGTTCCCCTCTTCCTGCCCCCTCCTTTTTTGCTAGTCTCGGATTAATTTATTTCTAAGTCCTTATAAAATCAGTTATCATACATACAGATTAAAAGCCAGACCAACAGGCCAAAAACATAAAATACATAAGATAGTTATACTAAATCAGATACACTTTTTTTAAAATAATTTTATTGAGAAGCATATAGCCATGAGACAGTTTCAAAACCGATTAGTAGGACAGTTTCAACAATTAATACATTGCGTATTATTGTCTTCTTAGTGGTTATTCGTAGTACAAGATGCAGACATGATATCCTGTCCACAAACACCATTAGTACAAATCTTTCTATTCATTGAATTAAGAGAAAGTAACTGTTATGTCTATCCTAACTATTTTGAATATACAGATACATTTATGTCCTCTTTTTTTGCTTAGTTTTGTCAGAGAAGCGTATTCCATTGTCATGTAAATATTGTAGGTGGGTGAATTCAGCAAAATATTCTCATATAGTCCAGTAGTCCATAATAGTAGCAGGTTATCCGAAAGGCTGGCAGTGTCAGAAGTTGTTGACTTGAGCCTTTTACAGCTCAGCCATTAATATGCTTTACTTTTTATACCTCGTTTTTTACTTCTCTGCTGGATGGTTAAGACCAAGATAAAGTAAGACCTATGTAACAAGAAATGCAGCTTTTGCAGATACACTTTTAGATACATTGTCCACATTGGATTGCAATAACCTTTTTTCCTGTTTTCTGTCTTTTATTTTGCACTCTATTCATATTTGAGTTTTTCATATAAAAGAAGCTAGGTGATCTTAAAGCTTGTGTGTTTGATTTACTTCACTTAACATTATGGTCCCAATGTGCATCCATTTGCCTACAGATGACCCAAACTTATCCTTCTTAATGGCTGAGTACTCCTCCATGCTGTATAAATGCACATTTTCTTTATCCAGTCATCTGTTGATGGATATGTAAACTGTTTCTAAGATTTAGCTATTATGAATTGTGCTGCTAAAAGCATAGGTGTGCCTGTATCATCCCTGTGTCTACTGGCATTTTAGCACAACCGTCGTCCTACCTCAGACACTGGCCATTCTGACACATTAAGATCACCAGGGTTAGAACTGCATTTCAGCTGCTGTTGACACCTGGGATCAAGCCCTTAGCTGCTGTACCATGCCTGCTGCAAACCAAAGAGCGAGCAGAAAGCCTTGCTGCAGGAAGGAGTGCCAGTCCATCTTGGAATTAGGGGCACGCACAGAGACAAGACAGAAGCCAGTGTGTGACATAGTCCTAAAGTATGTGATGTAGAAAATTAGGAAATAAGAGGATGTGAATATTCATTGTTGGCTGCAGATGGCAAATGCAATGATCTGATTAAGTTTAGACTGTGTTCCTTAAACAGAGGTGTGTTTTCTGCATTGTTTCTAACCTGAGATGTCACCATGCGGTGGTCTCCTGATAAAAGCTGCTTAACCCTCTAATCTTTGGCTGCTGCAGGCAACATGGCTGTACAGTATACAGATAACAGGCTTGCTCCTGGTCTGCATCCTTCAGTTTTTCAATTCTATGATTCTTGGATCATTGCTTATCAGCTTCAACCTTTCGGTATTAATTGCAAGAAAATTTCAGGTAGGACTGTCTGTGTGTGTGTGTGTGTGTGTGTGTGTGCACGCACGACGTGTGTGTGCGCGCGCGTGTGTGTGTGCCTAGGTGCCTAGGTATCCACGTGTTGTGTTACTGGGAACCGAACCTAGGACCTTCATACTAAGCTCCATCCCTGGTCCTTTTTTGTTTTCTTGTGGCTTTTGTTTTGTTTGTTTTGAGACAAGCTCTCACTAAATTACTCAGTTCCCTGAGCTGGGCGCAAACTTGCAATTCTCCCATTTTTTGTTTTTTGTTTTTAAACTCAGGGTAAACTTTTAAAAAAATTGTATTTCGATAGACCTGATTGTAGTAGCCAAAGGAAAATTTATGAACCATTCAAATGGCATTTTGGCATTTTTCTTTAAGGGTATGTGGTATTGTTTCTGTTTCCAACTTTCCGACACCATGTGCCATGCCTTTGTTTCAGCAATCTGTTTTGTTTCAGCAATTATTTACAGAATTGAAACTTTAGTTCAAGTCAGGGATTAGCCAAAGATGTTTAGTTGAGTTCCGTTGATTTCATGTTGAAGTAAAGAACAAAAATTATAAACTTTGTGAGTCAAAAGAATGTGCTGGTTGTACAATGTGTTCATCATAGTAGAACAAGAACAGCCCACCCCAGCCAATAGACTTCGGTTTTAGTTGCCCAGGTAACAGTGCCTGTTCCAGTTCCAGCTGCCTCTGTGTCTTAGAAAGCGCTGGTCACTGTGATGCACGCCGTATATGCTAATCCCCACTTGACAAGCAGTCCTGCCTCTGTACTTCCTACTTGCTTATCTGTATGAACCATAGACCACCAAAGATCAGGGCTGATATTTTGGTAATAGTCTTGCTCAATGCCTCTCGATGTAAATAGATCTGCCTCCAAATCGTGGGTGTCATTTCAGTGTTTCTGCCTGCCATTACAATAGTTCAGGTCAGCCTGTTCCTTGTGGTTAATTGTAGAAGTGCTGCTCTGTACCCTTCAATAGCTTTTTAAATAAATTGGCTCTTTTTGAGTATTTTAAGAATCTAAATAAATTCATTTCAGAAATGAGACATTTCCTAAGGTATAATGATAGCATCTTCAAAAACTTCGACCTGGGGCTCAGGTGTAGCTTAGAGGAAGATCCCAGGCCCGGCATGCATGAGACCTCAGTCAAAAATAGAAGGAAATTGTTGTCCTGCTCTTTTGGTTTTATTATGTAGTTATATTTGTTTTAATATGCATGAGATTTGAAAGCCATTTGTTTTTCCTTAAAATTATAAAAGATACTGTTTCCTTTCTCATATGCTATAAACATTTCTATACCAAAAAGCAATTTTGTTTTCACCTTTGGGAAGTGTAAATGGTTTCACCTTTGTGAAGTTTTGCTTTTAATTTTTTGTATTAATTTTTTGAGTGAGAATTGCTGTGGACAAACTGTAAGGAAGATTATTTTAACAGGTTTTTAATTTATTGTTAAAAGCAATAGTTCCCATTCTTATAACCTCAATTGTAAGTAAACATCACTCATATTTCAACTCTAGATATTGTATTTGACAATATTAGAGTTATATGTAGAAGAGCACAGTTTGCTTTTTGTACTGATAGGTCTCTTACTTACTTGGGTTATGGCTGTGTCTGTGATGTGTGAATTAATGATAAATGATGTGTTGGTATTCAGTCAGCGTACTGCAAGTATTTCCCAAATGGCAGATCCCAATGTTCCAGTTATGAAGAGCTCCAAAAAGAAAAAAGAAAGAAAAGAAAAAGAAAAATGCATGCTTACTTATCTTATGAAGTTCATCATTAAATAATTTGTTTACTAATAGAAAATTTAAAAATGATTTAACTTCACAAAGTTGTACATTACATTTTCCACGTATGATTTCTTTATATGTTGCATGAGCCAATGTCTGAAGCTCTTAATTAATATTAAGTATTTAGGAAGCTATCTAAAAATTTAAGAATTGAAACAACTCTTTTAATTTCTAGAAAAATCTGAAAACTGGAAATTTCCTTAACAGGATCAGGAAACTTTTGCTACATTTATCTGTAGTTTTCTGTTTGACACTCTTTCTCAACAATATTATTAAGGTAAGTTAATAAATGACATTTAATGTACTTTTTAAACTTACTGATGGTGTTGGAGATAATTTTTGAAACTTCCTATTTCAAATAAGTAAATCCTTGCTTAATAAAGCATGTCAGCACACTTTGAACAGGCCCAGTTTTAGCTTGGTCTAAAAACAGGATGATTTTGTTGGTTTTAACTATTCATTTATACTTATTCTTCTGTAGCCTGTTCTATCTTAAACTCACCAAGTTAATAAACTTTTTTAAACTCAACTATAAAAATTAAATAATTAATTCATTAAATAAATAATTCTCTAAATTTAGATAGTTCTGTACACTATGGTTTTTATAGGGTTCAGTTAATAAATAAACAAGCCTATCTAATTTCTCTCAGAAAGATGAGCTCGTTGTTGCTAAATGTTCTCTAAGATGACTCAAGATTAACCACCCTATAAAATAGAATAATTCACTTAGTAACATATGCCTATACTTACATACCAGAGCTTTTCTGAGGGTTTTTTTTCAAAATGCCTCAGAGGGGTGCTTAATTTTACAATATTTTTCTGGCTTTTTTTTTTTTTTTAATGAAGACTTTATTTCAGGACCTTGATGCCCCATTTGTCTTTCTACAACAGCAAAACCCAGTGATCTCATCAGACGACTTGGCCCTCCTAGAATGCTGGTCTCAGCATACCAGCCATCTGCACGGCAGATCCTCCACTTCCCTAAGAGTGACAGTTCCCTGGACTGTCAAAGAAGGAAAGATTCTTCACTCAGCCAGCCACAAAAAATACCTCACTCCAGGTCCTTGTCACTACAGCCTTAAACCCTGTACCGTTCGGTGCAGTCGCCCTGCATTCCCATGAATTCCCACCCCCAGGTTCCTCATTCCAGTATCCAGCCAACCACACATCAAAAATACTGGAGAGGAAACTGCGTCTAGACTGACCATACATAGACTTGTGTTCTTGTTACCAATCCCAAACAGTAGGGTCTAGGAACTGTTTATACAACATTTCCATTGAATTACATATTATAAATAATCTAGATGTGATCAAAAGCATGAGAGGTTATGCATAAGATATGTGCAAAATATACCATTTTATATGAACAGCTGAGAATTTTGCAGTCTTTGTCTCTGTCTCTATCTATCTCTCTTTCTCTGTGTGTGTGTGTCTCTCCCTGTCTCTTTCGCTGTCTGTCTGTCTGTCTGTTTTTCTCCCTCTCAGGGATTTCAGCCGTCCTGGAAGATTAGTTGAAAGTATACAGTTCACCCATGGTCACTTTTAAGAGTTTAGTGATCTGTTCATAGATTAGGTGTGTGCCTGGGCCTCTAGTTTTTGACAACCCAAAGAATAACATACATAGATTTTCAGCCTACAATGAGAAGAATTAGAAAAAACAGTCTGTGAAACCACCTTGCTATTTTTACTGTACCCGTAAGAGACATTTCTCTCTTTCTTATTTCTATGACTGTTAGGGTCTCTTCTGAGCAACTGGGTAGTTTTAATCTTACTACCCTGCGAGTAAAATAAATGTTTTTATCTTCCTTTTTGCATTTACTGCTGTAATGCCTAAGACTAGATTTGGGGCTCATCTCTAATGAATTTATTTTGTGTACTAACCTCAATTCTGGCTTTACCTTTTTTGCTGTCATTTTTCCTTTGATATCACTTCTTCACTATTATATTATTATTGACTTTAAAAGTTGTAAATTAAACCTAAAATTATGTGAATTAAAATTACAGTTGCCCCAGTACCACACCCTGCGCCAGCCCCGGCCCCAGGGCACACTGATCCTGTAATGGAGTCCAGGCATGGTGGCTCACACCTGTAATCCCAGCTGCTGAGGAGGCTGAAAACAGGATGATCACTATGAGTCTGATCTGCATAGTGAGACCCTGTACCAAAAAAAAGAAAGTTACAGTCACTGATGATGAAAAGTAGCCTTTACCTGGTCAGCAGCAAGGGTTACTATTGCCTTATAATGCCTTTGAGTAAATAAGTGTTGTGTCAGTTGTATGTATAGATCCACATCCCTAAGCCAAGTGGGCAGTGTTTCTCCTTGAGGTTGCTGGTCCTCACTTTGCTTGTTGCCATCTTCTGTGGTGATGACCGTAATGGGCCTGGGCATTGAGGCATACCTTTGCACAGAGCTGTATCTTCAGCCCCTTTTTGTGAGTTAGGATCTTGCTTAATTACTATTTAAACACACAGTGCTCCTGCCTCAGCCCACCAGAGTGCCAGGACTACAGGTGTGAACCACAATGCCCAACTCAGACTTTTTTTTTTTTTTTTTTTTAATAAAAATTCTAGTCACGGTGCTCCAGTCTTCTCCCGCTCCCTGAAACCAGAAACAGCCATCATTTATCTATCTTCTATATTGAACTTATGCATAAGATGTTTGAATAAAAGATTATCCTTATGAAAGGACGGTATAGGGGAGGAGGGAGTTTGAAATTCTGTGACTCAGAATCAGTTCTGAGAAATATTGTGAACCTCTGCAAATTTTGTATATGTACATCCTGTGAAACTAGACCCTGGATACATGTGTCCATTGGGAAATTATCCTCAATCCATACCTAAGGCATTAATAGAAATTTCTGTCTTTTCTCTCCTTGATAGAAAATTCTTAACCTGAAGTCAGATGAACACATATTTAAATTTCTAAAAGCAAAATTTGGGTTTGGAGCAACAAGGTACGATTGAATTAAAATCTGCACTTGCTGTTATGTACTAAAGCAGCCAGGACTTTAATACTTAAATTGCTATAATCCCCTCAATTATTAATTGCAGACTTATTTTAAGGAAAATATAGTGTTGCTTCCTTGCCTTGTATTTAATTTAATACTTTGCTTTCCATTTGTTCCCCAGAGATTTTGATGCAAATCTCTATCTGTGTGAAGAAGCTTTTGGCCTCCTGCCTTTTAATACATTTGCAAGGCTTTCCGATACTCTGCTCTTTTATGCTTACATATTCGTTCTGTCCATCACAGTGATCACAGCATTGGTTGTCGCCTTTCATAATCTCAGGTATGGAGCGTTGCAGCATGTTTAACACTCTGCCTCCAGGAAATTGCTCTGGGTGTTGCAGAAAAAAATGACTAAGTTGAAAATCAAAGTATCACTCGGAACAGAGTGATGCCACACATCTTAAAGGCGGAACCCTACTCTCTGTAGTGGTAAGATCCCGAAGAGTGGGGGCCCCTGTTCAGAGTGGTCTGGGATTAAGTCTCAGCTCACACACTGGGAGGGTGTGGTCTTTGGGCCGGCTCTGCCACTTCTCAGCATTTCTTTTCCTCATCAGTAGAATGAGAATGACAAGTGCTTTCTCTACATGGTTTTATGGAGCATAAATCTAAAACAACACAACAGACTTAAAATAATGTCTCCAACCCAGAATATTCTGTTTTTTCTGATTTGTGTTTCTCTTTTCTTGCCTTATTTTTCTATATTATTTTCTCTGTTACTAGTTTTTTGCATTCTTCTACTTTTGTCTACCTTCCTCTTCCAGATGATTTTTACATTATTTCTTGTGAAGGTAAAGAGTTAAATAATTGTTTGTTTGCTTCCTTACATCTTGTTTCAGAGGAATGGGCCATAATTACTAGTATCAACTAAAAATCTTAAGTAGTAAGTGTCAATTTTTTAAAGCTTAGGCTCTCTACCAGTCTAGTGAAGAAAATCAGGGAATATAAGGACTTTTCTAAAACCAGTAGAACATCCACCTCTTAAGCTTAGGGTGGTTTTTTTGCATTCGTTATTCTTGTTGAATGGGAAGAAAAATCATATATACCAAATCAAAGCTGCTGTCACTGATGAAAAATTAAACTCCCAAAGAAGCTCTTTCTCTGCGTAGTGACCTGGCCAGTTAGGGTGGTGGCGCACTATGGCTCGCAGCCACGAGAGAGCTGCTGGGAAAATGGGTGTGCAGCAGTGAGGTGTTCTGTGATTATTAAGAATGAAGCCATGTTGAACCATCAAAGCACCTCATTGGCTATAAGCTATTTTAGTGTCCTGCAGAAGTGTTCTTTTTATACCTGCTCAGTATACAGTGTGGCCATGTGAAAATTATCTACATGGACAGAGTAATTATCTAGACAGTGTCATTCGATATTATTCCAGACACACCAAAGCAGGAAGTTCAGTTGGCATGTGGCATCTTTGTGAAAATGTGCCCTGTGCTCGGTGCAAATCTCTGAGCCAGCCCTGGGAATTGACTTGGAATGTGATTAGAGGCAAAGATTTTAGAACACCCACCAACTAGGGATTTTCAGGTCATTATTAGAAGAAAAAGACTCTATGAAAGTAATTAAAGGGTGATAGTATCTTAATATAAATTAACTTTTAAGTAATTTGGAAGATATCTGTTTTAATACCGAGTATGTAAAGTACCTTGTGTTTTTATGTAAAGTACTTACTGGGCAGCTCAGAACCCAAGCCCACCAGTAACAAATGCAGAGGACACTAACACAGAACAAATTGGGAATCACACAGCTGAAAGCATTGAATCAATGGCTTCTGAAATAAAAAAAACATCTGCAGAAAGGTATAGAGGGACTCAGATTGGAAATAAAAAAAGAAATCCCTGAATTAATAACATCTGCAGTAAAGAATCAAATGCAGGAACATATGGAGGAAACCCAGTGTCCACCCAGAACAAGTGCGGAGGACACTAGCTCGGTCAAATGCATGAATTAATAGGGTCAATAGTAAATAAGCAACAGCAGAAAGATATAGAGGAACTCAGAGTGCAATTCTTTTCTGAAATAAGTACTGGGCAGGAGGATACTGCAGTAGTACTTCAGTTCATGAACTTCATTTGTTCTATAGTTTTGGGAACGATGATGACTACATTTGTGTTCCTGTGGCCACAGTGGTGTCTGGCACTCGATGCAGAGTTTGCAAGCAAAAGCAAAATTTTGCCGGATGCCTCTGTTTGGAAACCAAACTGTTTGCAAACAGAAATGTTCAGGGACGGAAGTATGACTTTTATAGTCACACAACTCATGTGTATTAGTGTGAAGGATGCAACTGAAAGTAGTACAGTGCTCTCTGTCTGTAGGAGTGGAAGGGCCTTCCAGCCTGGCTGGGCACAATAAAGGCATCACAGAATTCCCTTAGGTATCAAGGGAAGGTAAGAGCAAATCATCTTGCTGCATGTGGTGGGTCTCATTTGTAATCTCAACATTCTATTAGGCTGAGGCAAGAGGATCACAAGTTTGAGCCCAACCTAATCTGGGCAACTCAGTGACTAAGAAAGACCCTATCTAAAACTATAAATAGGGCCAGCCAAATAGCTCAGTAGATTAAAGTGCCTGCAAGCAAGTGCAGGGGCCAGGGGTTCGATCCCTTCAATCCCCAGGCCTGCTGTGCTGGTCCCGCCCCTGGGGCACACTAAGTGGCAATTGAGACTGGGCATGGTGGTGCACTCCTGTAATCCCAGCTCTTGGAAGGCTGTAAACAGAGTCCAATCTGGTAGTGAGACTCTGAACACCCTGTATATCCTTCCCTAAACTAATTAATTAATATAAATATAAATAAATGAATGAATTTGAGGTTTAGCACCCTGGATTCAATGCACATTTTCAAGGAAAAAAATGCACTTTTCTTGTGTAGAAGAATCTTATGATACCAATATAGAAGCCAATGTCTGTGTTTTAATATTTAACCTTTAAGTTGAAGTTACTACCAATAGTGAAAGCTCCCTTAGAGTAAGATTTTAATAATCTTACCAATCTGTGATGGTGACATAGTGATTTCTAAGAAATAAAAGCCTTGCAGGTATATAGAGAAGCATCACACACAGCCAGTTCTTCTGCATTTATATAAAGACTTCATAGGGCCTTTGAAAGTAGTTGTCTTTGTCTTCAGCTGGCAACCGTCACAGTGTTTTCTTTTCCTTGTGATGACAAATTATGCAGTATTGGAACTCACTACAGTCTTAGCCTCACTACAGTGGAGCTAGCAGCCAGTATGTGCTTCCCAGTGTGGTGCACGATAGACTCGATCTCCATGAAGTGTTCTTGTCCCCCATAATAATAATAAACTCAAATGACCCTCTAGATTTGATTACAAGTTTACAAGAAACATGAGAATGGAAAAATAAGGCAAACATCACCATAAGGAGGCACTCAGCCAGATCTGAAGAGTGAAGACTTACAGTACAGATGCTGTGTTTTGTTCACTGAATAAATGGTTTTTAAGAAGGTGTGAGGAAGTTGGGGGGATAACTTTTATAGATCCAAAGATGTTTGAAGTGGTCTATCAAGAAATATATTCTGCAAGTTTTAGATTCTGCTTCAAAGAAACCTCCTGAAGAAAAATAATGATTACTAGAAATGGAAATTAGAACTCATACTGTGAGATGATGTTGAGGGACTGCTATTAATTTTGTTAGCTGTAATGAGCTTAATATGGCTGTGTTTGGTAGAAGTCATGCATTAGACATATAGAAGGAGGCTTTGACAGGTTTGAAATGTGATCATTTCATAGAAGAATTGAATTCCAGGTTTATAGATACATTCCTTTTACTTACAAAAATTTACAAAATACTTGTAAAACAAACAACTCATAATACATCTTTAAAGGTCTCCATTTTCAGTGATTCCAAAAGGAATTGTTTTGCTATTCTCATTTAACTTAAATAATGGAATCACTTTAAATCTTCGCAAAATTAAAATCTATGAGATTTTAGTTATAATTACCTCTGCATTCGTGTAATGATTTTAGCCTCCGACAACTTCAGAACTGATCAATGCTAATTGATTTCTTTAGGGGAAAATAAGATTTAACTAAACAAAGATTATTTTTATTCAGCTTAAGATTTGTGTGTTTGCCACTTTATTCAGTGATTCCACAGTTCAGCAGTCCACGGGTAAAATGGGAAGATGCACAGCTGACCTGAAGCCGGAAACCGCGTATAACTTACTTCACACCATCCTGTTCGGGCTCTTGGCGCTGAGCACAATGAGGTATTTTTGTCTTCTCTGATTTCTTTCTTTTTTGACCGCTCCTCACTTGATGTTATTTAGCAACAAAATTTAGCAACTGACTGTCATCTTCCTTAATGACCGTGAGTGTCTCCCACTACAAAATATTATTCACCATCAGTTTGGTTCCAGTTTCTAGCACTCTTTTACCTGATCGATGGTTCCCCAAACGCAGAGGAATTATTGGCCGACCCTTTGGCAGCTTATTTCTTCATAGTTCAGAGCAACACGTTGCTGTCGCAGACTGTAGAGCTCTCACAGCTGTCTCAGCCTTGAGACGCGTATGCGGGTACGAGCTGCTGAGTTGTGCCCCTTCCTGTCCTGGCAGGATGAAGTACCTCTGGACATCGCACATGTGTGTGTTTGCGTCATTTGGGCTGTGCAGCCACGAGCTATGGGAGCTACTTCTGAAGCGGGTCCGTCTTTATAACGCAAAGAGGGTCAGTACTGTCCCCTTTTCCATTTCATTTTTAATGGTTTCGTATTTTGTTTAAACCATTTCTCTGTTCTTTAGTAGTTACCTATGTACCAGTCAGATAACATGGATTCTGACCTTTGAAACTAGAAATAGATCTTTAATACATTAAGATTTCATAAGGAGTTTTTTAAAGTTTGTTGTTAATTTTAATTTTTTTTAAATTCGTATTTTTCCTACCTTTGAAATACAAAACACATGCATACTCACATATAAAGAATTAAAACTTGCCAGTAACCCTCCTACCTAACATTATAACTGTTCTTCTCACAAAGTGTTCTCCGAATACCTATTGACAAGTGTAGAATAACGTGTAGAGACCTACAAATGTGATTTGGGGAATTGTTCTGCCCTCGGTCCTCACGAGGTAGCAATATGGTGGAAGCTGGAGATGCCACCTAAGTGCTTAGAACCCAGACACTGACTCAGTTGTCCTGATACTGGAGACTCATGCACCATTAAATGATATTTTTGTTGTTGTTTATAAAATACGTATATTTACAAAGCAAAACCATAACGCAAAAATGTTCAAAATGCTTATAATCTAAATAGTGTCTTTCTTATATAGATATGTATAATGCGATATTCAGTACCAATAGTAATACTGCTGTATCTGGGCTATAAGGTAAGCTGGGTTTTCCTCATTTTTTTGGTCATTAATCTATTTAGTAGAATAATTGCTTTGACTCAATGTATTTTGTGTGGTTTTTGGCAAATCAAGATGGGTTTATGGGGTTTATAAATACCTCCTTAGCATTTTGCTACAGTTGATATTGATATAAATTTTTTTCAAATAGCTTTTTTATTTATTTTTTATTTAAATTCTGCTTTTAATGGTTTCTTTTTTTTTTTTTTTTTTTTTTTTTTTGTCCTCTTTGAATTTTATTTACTTAGCGAACATACCTTTGTTTACTTAGGAAACATAGCTTTGAAAACTAAAAGTAAGATTTTATAGTTACACAAACTTGAAATATTTTAATACCTCCAGAAGTAGCATATAGGAAAAAACAAAAAGCATAATTCAAAAGGTCAAATAGCTTTTTAACAAAGAAAAGCATGACAGCAAAAGTCACTGGCATTAAGTCAGTCCAATGAGTTATATTCAGCAAACTCTGAAAATGTTTTCAGACCTGTTTTTCAGCAAACAAGTAGAAAGATTATTTTCTCCTCTTCCCTGATTTATGTGGAATAAGTTTTAAAATGTTATCTTTTCATCAGGTGATTTTCTTTATAAGAAAACTAAACACATATGAACAAATACACATCTAAGGTCAGAATTTTTTTAAATCTTGTTTTCACTTTCAGCAGGGAGTAGGAAAGTTTTTCGTGTTCCTCGTTGACTGGTTTCTGAAACGCTGACTGTGCCCCAGTGCTGAGGATCCCCTGAGACAGTGGCTCTTGGTCAGGTCAACGACTATGTGCCTCATATGTGGCATCCTCAAGATTCACAGGCTTTGACATATAGGCCACTAGCACAGATTGCTTCATCCTGCTGATTTTTTTTTTTTTTTTTTTTTTTTTTTAGGACAGGGTCTGCAAGGTCTCACTACATAGATCAGACTCATAGTGATCCATCTGTGTTCAGCCTCCCAAGAGCTGGGATTACAGGCACGCGCCACCACGCCCAGTCTCAATTGCTGTCTCAGTCCGCCCCCCGGAGGCAGGTCTGGCAGAGCACCCCAGGGATCGCAACCGGCCGCTGCTCTCTGCCTAAGCAGGCACTTTAATCCACTGAGCTATGGGGCCAGACCTTTGCTGAATTCTTGCCTTCTCTGTAAAATCAAAATACATACTTGTGAGGTTGAGGTGCTTTTTCTTCAAAATGTTAAAATATTCGAACAGTGGCTTTCAAAATCTGCTATGCAGAGGCTCTGAACTGGGGGGTGGAGGATGAGCAGATAAAGAGACGGGGCCTGCGCTGGGGTGGAGCCACTGCAGAGAAGGCTCAGCTTTTGGTTTCAGTGCTTCTGTTTTCAGGTTGGTCTTTGTAAGCCAAAGGTTTAAGGCCAAAAAAGTCAGTCATCACTAACTAAATATTTTAGAAAACTATACACTGCCTTGTTCCCATGTGTCAGAACCTCCGAGGCACTAGAAAACTACTAGAAGTAGTTTTCTACCTTTTGGTGTCTGGAAATTTGCTTTTATATAAGTATGTAAAACTTAAAAACATCTGGAAAGCTGTGGTTAAATATTAAGCAGGCTACATTTAATGAGGAATCTGGTAACTTTCCTATTACACATTCATTTTGAGGCTAAAACCCCCTCCTTCTAGAACAAAATGTAGCCCTTCGACCTGTCTGCCCTCTGTAGAGAGTACATCAGGACAGTCTCTCCATCATTGTATGGACATGGGCTGAGTTCTTATGTCTCAGGTACTCATTGAAATTTCACAGATTCTTTTTAAAATGCTGTTTGAGGAGGTAAGATATTTGTTTGATCTTGGTAAAATCATGGCAGGATGTTGCAGAGAAAATAAACCATGCTGTAGAGCCCTGGCTCTTAAAGCATAGTCCTTAGACAAGCAACATCAGGCCTTGGGGCAACACAGGTACTTGGGTCACAGTTCAGCCCTGCTAGGTCAGAAGCTGCGGCGCAGAGTCCAGAAGAGCGTGGTGTAGCCGTGCTGCTGCTGCTGCTGCTGCTGCTGCTGCTGCTGCTGCTGCTGCTGCTGCTGCTGCTGCTGCTGCTGCTGCTGCTGCTGCTCACGGTCAGGGTGAAGTGCCTACTGTAGTGTCAGCCGGGTTCCTACCAGTGCAGGTTCGACTGCCCGCCAGGATGACTCTCATGGGGACTGTCCTGTACCTTCAACCCACTTGATGGCAGTAGCACTTCCCTCTAGCTGTGACAGCCGGAGAAGTCTCCCCAGGTGGCCAGACTTCCCCTGAAGTAGGGTAGAGGTGGAGAAAAGCCGCTGTTGTGAAGGAACAAGTGAGAACAAGAGCACTGGAAAGCCATCGTTCTCCAGAAATCCTTGTGATTTTCCCTGAGGAGAGCTGGCATCTTAAAGAATCCTCCAAGCTAGGCTGGAGGTGCTCGCCTGTTACCCCAGCACTCCTGGAGCTGAGGGAGGAGGATCACAAGTTCAGGCCCAGTCTGGGCAACTTAGCCGCTCAGCAAGAGCCTTGTCAAATATCAAATAAAAGACTCAGGATACAGCTTGGCACAAAGGCCGTGGATCAATCCCCCAGTGTAACGGAGAGGGGAGAAAGGAGACTGTTACCTCAGTTGCTCTTGGTGTAGAAAAGTTTTACTATACAAAATAGTTCAGCTATTTCATCTCAAAATTTGCAGAATATAAAATTGCAGTGATCACAGAATATGGAGGTAATATGTATATTCAAAGTTACCTTAAAACTGAACCTATTTTCTTCTATCTCAACTATTAAATCTTATCTATAATGTACATTTGTATACTTTAAAGCCTGATTTGAGTTTTACCCAGCAACTTTAAACAGGGGTTCAGGTTTTGTTAACAAGACTGTTTCCTTATCCCTGTCTCTCAGTTTTTTTTTTGTTTTGTTTTGTTTTTTAAATGTATTTGGTTGTTAGAGGGTCTCACTGTTCAGCTCAGATTTATGGTGATTCTCCTGCCTTCAACCTCCCCAGCGCTGGGAATACAGCATGCGCTGCTACACCCTGTCTCAGTGGCCGGCTTCACCCACCCTCAGGATGGGACTGGCGTGGCATGTGGTACAGGCGATCGAACCGTGGTCCCTTCACTTGCCTAAGCAAGCGCTTAGTCTGCTGAGCTATCTTGCCAGCCCTAGGATTATCTTATTAAAAGGGAAAAGCATATTCTATTCTCCATTTTGAAATCAAGTAAAATTTATTGTCATTGTTCTTAACTTACTTAGATTGATGGAATCCTATATACACTATTTCTGATTATCTAAAAGCAGCCTTTAATTTGTTCAGCACTTACTTTTACATTAAGTTTTCTAAGCTGCTCTTAGTAGATTGCAGCATTCTTAGCATTAATAACAGCAGCTTCAAAAGTATGTAATGTCATTGGATTCACATATATATTCAAAGAATTGGAGGCCAGGAAGATAACTTGGTGCACCTGCGTGGAAAGCACAAGGACCTGGGTTCATTTCCCGGTACCACATGCAGTGCAGGCCTGGGAACCCTAGGCGTGCCATGCCAGCCACTGAAACCTGGCATGGTGGCGCATATCTGTAATCCTAGTGCTGGGGAGGCTGAGACAAGAGGATCACTGTGAGTCCAAGCTGCATAGGAAGACCCTGTACCAAATAAATAAATAAGAGCATTTTATCAAATTAATAAGGAAATACCTAATTATAATATTACAAAGGGATTGTTTAATCAGTCATTTTCACAACACTTCTTCTGAAAACTAGAGCCAAATGTGCTAACTCCTGATTCTCCATCCCTCACAGTTCTCTTGACCTACCTGCCCAAGAGACAAGCTGTGAGTCAGCAGTACTAATGACCTGAGATGAAATAACAGGATAAGAAGGCAGTAGGGCTAAAACATCCACAGACAAATCAGGTGTTCTTTGATTCTCATTAGTGATTCTTAAAATTATTACCTTTTCAACATTAATGAAACAGAGGCATGTTGCTACCGGTCTTCTGTGTCAATGTTGTGAAATGAATTCTGCAGCTAACCTTAGGATATATGTGGATGATCAAGTCTTGCGAGTCACCCATTATTTGTTAAAACAATTAAGATGGGGCTGGCCAGATAGCTCAGCAGATTAAAGCATCTGCTTAGGCAGATGCAGGGTTGGAGGTTCGATCCCCGGCCTGCCGTGCCAGCCTCACCCCCGAAGTGCACTAAGATGGTGATTGAGACTGGGCATGCTGGCACGTAATCCCAGCGCTTGGGAAGCTGAAAACAGGAGAATCACAAGTCTGACCTGTATAGTGAGATCTTATAGAATCTTTAGAATCTGCACTAAATACAAAAAAAAAAAAAAAAAAAAAAGGTTAAGATGTAATTAATTGATAGAATAAACAGACTGATATTGTATTGGGTAAATAGTAGGTTCAGATATAATTTTACACTATCTACAAAACCTTCAATAACTCAAGTTGACCAAGAGATAACCGGTGATAGATGTCTCAGGTCTTCCTGGACTGTGTGCTTGCAAATATTCTCTCTCACTGTACCAGTAATTCTGTTAATCTATGTCGAACTGTGTGACCAGATTTCTAGTGTCAAAAATACATTATTCAATGAGAAGGAGCTTACTGTCCAGTCACATTCCAAGTTGTAGTTCTGCCACTTGTGACCTGGTCAACTCGGGTCCCTCTTGGAACCGGTTACCATACTATTAAAATAAAAACCCCAGTGATGCTGCTTCCTGCTGCCTCATAGCACATGAGTTATTGTCAGAACAGAAGTGAGACTGTCTTCAAGAGTATTTTCTGCAGCTATGATATGGGGCTCTCCCCTGTGGTTGCAGTCTGCTCTTAAGGATAGAGTGCGTGGCAGTAGTTGACAACACTTTCCCAATACCCTGAGAGCATGCTTGTGGCTGGTACTCCTGTCGCATCAAAGTAATGTTTTGCCAGTTATTAGACCTTCATACAATAGCATTTTTATACAAGTAAAATAAAAGTGCACTGTTTTAAAGTTGACAACACCTCTGGTCATGATCAGCGTCAGCTCAGGATAACTTGGGAAACTCATTGAAGCCTCAGCCCACGTGGGCTGGGAGGGCTGGCGGCACAGGGGACGCAGCTCTGGCTCTGTCTGCCAGGTCTGTGCATGGCACACTTGACCCTTTTTCATGCAGCTGTAGTGATAGGTGTCATGATGGGGGTGGATTTTGGTTTTGTTTTGTTTTCAATTTCAGTTCTGGCCAGGAATGATGGATGAACTCTCCGAGTTGAGAGAATTCTATGACCCAGATACAGTGGAGCTGATGAACTGGATTAAGTAAGATGAATTTTTTTAACCTTTGAATTTTTAAGTGCTTTTTCAGATCGGGTTAGTTTTGGGGTGGATTGATTGGTGGTTGTGAATCTAATTGTGGAAAAGCATTCGTTTTCATTAATCTTTTTTTTTTAAGCCCCATATTTGGAAATAACTCTTCATACTTGAAAAACCCTTTGCCCAGGTGTATCCCTTAAAGAAAGCAAAATAACCATTGCAGGGGAAAAAAAAAAAAACAGGATCAGGAAATAAATTTCAAACACAGCTAGAAATGGGAATGAAATTTTACTTATCTGGGTGAACACTTACAGTTTTCTATTCTTTGCCAATTTTATCTTTATTATTTTCATTTTAATACTGTTTACTTTTTTGTCAGTGCTGACACTAAAGTGTTCCATGTTAATTGCTTTAAAATTACAATGTAAACTATAGTTAATTAGAGTCATAATGGCTCATTGCAGATTTCATTTTTACTAATCATTTTCCCTAGGCTCTGGCCAGGGCAAATTTTAAATACAAAAAACAGCGCTTTTCCGCTCTTGAGCCTGGAAATACTGTAGTGTTGGGTCAGCCCTTGTTGCTGCTGCACTCTGTCGCTCTGCCTCGGTCTCCAGCCTCCTAATGGGAACCCGTGTGTTTCAAAGCTTTACGCGTGAGACCTGATGGCCACGGACAGAATTAAACTTCTCTACCCAAAACAGCATTCTTGTGCACCACAATACCGTATTTCCCTGTATTATAACCAGAGAGCAACTGCGCGGCTTCTCACTCACGTGCGGGCGATACGAATCTCGTGCGGCGTATGGCTGCGTTGTCCCCATCACTTAGAATTTCAGTAGCCACGTTGGCACTTGCTCGTGACGGATGCTTACTAACCGGTACAGTTTAGCACTGCGTGTGTATTAAGAGATGGTAAATGTTTGATAGCTCTGGTCTCTTGAGCGCAGTGCATGGATTTTATAGAGATTTATGTCTAAAATGTATATGTGGCGTTGGTGCCAGGGTTGGACTGAGTTTGACTAGATGCAATGAGTGTCATTTTTCACACATTTCCAGGGCTGAGAGGAACAAGCAGTGCTTTGTCTTTCTTTATTTATTTAATTTTAAATCACGGCAAACAATTACAGAGTAAATACTTCACTCAGTATTATCTATAGGAAAGGAAAGCTGTTCATATAAAGGAAAGCTAATTACTTTTGCATTAACTGTAGTCAGTGGGGGATTTATGACACATGCATCTGAAGGTGAGGGTGAAATTTTGTGTTGAAGATTATACTGTTGAAATTCACGCTGAAGGAAGCCTGCTTTCTGGTAGCATCCTGAGGGTGGAAGACCTCTTGCTTCAGCCTGGGTTAGTGTTATGCGTTTCCCCTCTTGCATTACCTTATCATTTAGGAATAAATTTTAAAAGTATTTTAGCTGAGCCCCAGGTTGCCTTTGGCTGTCTCAGATTGGATGTGCTTATTCACGGGACCTTTGCTTCTATGCTTGTTCTCCCAGAAGATTACCTTAGGTAACGCTTCTCACTAGCTGTGAGAAACTGGCTAAGAGATCATTCCCAGTGTAAAGAAAAGAGTGTGTTAGCCTGTTGTTCCTCCCTGTTGGGGACGTGGCCCTTGGGACCAGATGCTCCTATCCCTTGAAGTTCCTGATGTCCCTGGCTAGTCCCCTTGTAAACACATCCTTTATGCCTGGTTGGTTGGTTTTTCTACTTCTTAGCAACTGAAAGATTTATATTGTTCTAAAAAGTTGGCTCCATTATGATCTAAAATCTTGCCTATTTTCTCCTAAAATTCTTTAAATTATCATTTTTATAAAAATAGCTGCTAGGCATGTTTGTAAAATAAGCTTAAGTGATGATGAATGTATGCCAAAATAGGGTTTATTTAGACACAAAGTATGTTTGTTTAAATCAACATTCAAATCAGCACTGGTCTGCAGGCTTTGATTCCAAACACAAGGGGATTATATTTAGTATTTTTTTAACCTTCCCTGATTTTTATTTATCTTTGAAACATAAAATACAACCTTCAGCTTTGATTTGGTTATGATATTAGTCAGTGTGAGCCGCCCTAGAGAAAAGGTTATGGCCTAGGGATCCTAGAGTGGATCTGAAAACAGCCCCCAGACTCAGGGGCACCCAGCCCTGTCAGAGAGGGACACCTCAGCTTGCATGAGCCTACTTGTTCTGTCCTGAGGGTGCCCACACTCAGATGTCTGTCCTTCATCATGCAGCCAGGATGGTATTACCAGGACAGGGTGTGGACTGGTACAGGATGGCTTACCTCAGGAAGACCTACTCAGATTCCCGTTGGCACAAGGCGCCTCCTTTGTGAAAAGTATGCAGTGGCAGCCTATTGTCATCTCTCAGTCTGTGCTCAGTGCCAGTCGCATCCGCCTCCTGGCTGTGCTCCCAGGCTGTTGAGCTTCTGTTTGAACGCAGGCTTCCCAAGTATTTGCTTGGGGCTTCTCTGCTGTGGGTAAAGTCAGAGCTGCCATTGTCCCTCAGCTCTTTTACTGTCTCACTTTCCAAGTCTTTCACGCTCTCTCTTAGGTGATGGGGATTAAACCCAGGATCTTCATGCTGAGCCACATCTCTGGTCCTTTTTACACTTCGAAACAGGATGTTGCCAAGCTACCAAGGCTGGACTCAAACTCTGGCATTCTTCCACCTCAGCTGCCTAGCATTTGGGGTTCCACGTGCACATCACAGCATCCAGCTTTTTCCTTTCCTTTTGAAGGGTCTGTGTATAGTCTTTTAGGAGTGAAGAGGCATTCTCAAGAGAAAACAAAGGTTATTTCTTCAGAATATCATGAGAGAGGTCATGCCCGATGGCCTGGATTTTTGTGAAAATATTGAAAGCCTCAAATGATTTTTTTTCATATCTAAATTTGCATATTTGTTTGCACAATTTGACAGACATTTACTGAGCACCAATTGTGAGCCTAAGTCTGATACGCTGTAATGAACATGTCAGTGTTGGCCAGTAACCCAGTAGAGTGGCCTCTTCGTTGGTGCAAAGCCCTGTGCTTTTTTCCCATATTCTTCTTCTCTGTTCCACGTTAGTTTTCAGAGGCTCAGCAGGTTTAGTGGGAAATGGTTTTAGAATCTTAATTTTTAGTCACAGAAAAATGTTGTTTTAGGCTTTCCTATCTTTAGTTCCCTTAAAGGAGCAGAGATTTAAGTTTAAATATAAAACCAAGAATATTTAGGGATTAGACATCTCTCTTTTTTTAATCAAGGATATTTTGGACACTTTAATTAAAGACATCTTAATCTGCAAGGCCCTCCTGTTGAAGTCAGGCCCTGGGTGCAGCAGCCCGAGCTACCATTCCTGCAGGCCCTACCCTGCCCTCCTGGCTGCTGGCTCCCACCTATGCCAGTGCTGCTGCCTCCCTTCCAAGCAGGTGCAAAATACCCGTGTTCCCATTTGCCCTCCTTGGTGGCATCCTAGATGCAAAGATTAAAGGCCTGGATCTTACTCCTTTCTGATGTCCCTTTAAGCATCAGGTGAGACTTTCACATGCAGGCTTTCTGTATCTCTAGCAAGGCGTATACTGCAGCAGGGCTGAGTGTCCAGCAGTATGCTTGTGCCTTGTTCCTCCATGTCCTTCAGCTGGCCGGCCCCTCCCTGCCTGCCTGCCTCCCTCCCTCCCTCCCTCCCTCCCTGAAATTTTTCTTCAACATTGTGTAATTAAGATACACAGATCTGTAGATCTGAATATTTTGAAGTATGGCATTTTAATTTCTTGGCTTTGGGAGATTTTCACTAGAAATCATCACTTTCCAGTAATGAAGCCTGCGTGTGCAGCATTTTCTCCGTGGCCCTGAAGAAATGTACCGAATTTCTTTTGCACTTAGTCAAAGTAGGAAGAATTGCTGTATATTCTAAAGATGATTTAAGCTAAGTTCAGACCTTAAGTGCCTATAAACCCTCTTTCATGTTTAATGAATCATTTTTGGTATTTGCATAATTCTATAAATTTTTCAAGTGTAGATAAAGCAAATGTTCACACATTGTATTATAATGCTCAGTTTACCCGTTAGTTCAGCAGTAATTAACTTGTTGAAGCTTAGAACTTCAAAAATAAATGAGGTTATTTGTTCAAAATGCCATCAGGTCTTCCTAGAATGACATTTAAATTATATAATGTAAATCCGTTTGACCTGTGAGTCCTTGTCATTATTTAATGACATTCCTTACAGAATAAATTGATGGCAGGTTGGGCAGCCTGCTATAGAGTTGGCAGAGAGCTATAAAAACAAATTATCCTTTCATTCCGTACATCATTTGTTCAAACATTTGTAAAAATTGCTTTGTTTTTCTATAATAGAGAAGTGTCATTCCGTAGTTAAAAGCACATTAGCTGTTTTCGAGACAGGCCACAGACCACATCCGGCCCAAGGCTGGGAAGGAAGAAGCCAATGAGATCTTGCGTTGTGTGTGTGTGATGTTACGGACAAAGAATCTCTTTTTCCCTTTGCCTCACAATTCTACCACAGCGTATGTAAAAATGCAGTGAATAGAGGAGGTTTGTTTAAGTTTAAAATATATGTGATTTTTTTTTTTCCTCTGGTCCCACTTTGCTTGTTGCTTTGACTGTTACCATTGCCTTATTGATAAAAAGTTAAGTATTTCAAGTAGTAGTGAAATATCCACAATTTGCTGTGGGCCCGGCATTTAAAACCAAGTAAACCTAATTAAGTAAACATCCACCCTACTAGCTTTGGAAGTCCATGGTTTTCAAAAAAGTATTTTTTCTAATTCATTTTCTAGGCATTGGATCATCTTACTTACAACATTATAAGAAAACCAAGGGCCTAAAAGAGTATGTTAGCAAGCCAGAGACTCACACTAACGATTTAAACAGATCACATTTTATTTTAAACTTTCTGTCTTTGCCAAACCTTAAGACACGTTGCACTTGAATGAGCTGTATTCCATTTTTCTTCTCAGTTTCCTTAAGCAGCCACAGGATGTATCTTGTGTCTTCCCTGCTGCTGGCCTGCTGTGCCTGGGGCTGCAGCGGGCAGGGGCAGGGTGTGTAGGGCTGAGCAGGCCGCATCTGCTCTACCAGGGCCCAGCATGGCTGAAGGCCTGCAGAAAATATGCTACAGACGAATTTCGGGTTTATTTTCAAGTGTTTTCCAGTAATAAAGCTGAGCCTGGCTCTTTTGACCAGAAAGCTTATCAAAAATGGGTCATCGTACTGTGTTTACCCGCTGAGAGCATGGGAGGCCCTCAACGATACATCTTGAATAAAGAATACCTTTGTAACCTCACATACACACCAGCAGTCCGGGGCTCTTCCACCTTTAAACCTTCGTGCACTGTGTAATTCATCAGAATATTACAATTAAAAGAGTCTGGGAAGCAGGCTGAAACCTTGACCATTAGCTGTAAATGGATAACAAGGTCCATCTTCTTCTGCCTCTGCCATAATTATACAATGCACGTTGTGAACAGCGTATCTTCTTTGTGCCTGTCCCAGGCACATACTCTAAATGGGAATGCTAAGATGGGCTTGTGATCTGAATAGGCGTTGGAGGGTCAGCAGCTGGATCCACCTTGTGTGTGGAGAGACCAGCCTGGCATCTTTAGGTAGTAAGGCTGTGCCAGCCAGGATCATTCGCGGCTACCTCACACTCTGCCAGACAGGAAAATCAGGTTGTTCTCTGCCTGCGCTGCGAACCTGTCAGTTTGAGGACGGCCCCTTTTTGGCTTTAATGTGTGATGCTAGTGTATGATTTATTCCAGTGGAATGGCTTATGCCACATAAGTGTATAGAAAAGAAAATTGTCTTGGAACAGCGCTGGCACTTTCTTTAATCCATATTTCTTCTCTTTAGCAATTATAGTGATATTCTATAAATGACAGTAGCATTGCATACAAGACCCAGAGTAAGTATTTAAGCACTAACTGAACCATGGTACGTGCTTGACGGTCCCAGCAAGCAGCTTGCAGCACTCGTCATCCAAGTGGGACAGTCATGCATGTACTACCAGTTGTTCAAGCCACTCAGCCCCAAGACAGATGAATTACAGCCCCATCGTGAACATATCCAACCAGTCTGTTCCTCTGTCCACACAAGACAAATGTCAGATATCCCCTGTTGTGCCTATAGGGTGACAGGGCCAGCATCCATCTATCTGTTCTTGTGTTCTCGGGTCTGGTTGTCAGAATGATAAGAACTCATCAAGGGCAGCCAAGCTCCCATAAAACTTCTTTCTGTTGGAATCCCCGCTCTCAACTCTGGCATGGGTGTGGAAGGATGCAGATTATGTGTCACTCCTTGTGTGCTCATTGTAATTCCATCCACTTTTTTCCCCTCACTTAAGAAGGCTTATTGAAATGCAAGTGAATGAGTGTCATCGTTAGAAAGAAAGTCTTGAATTTTTCAAAAGCAAATTATTTGTAAATGTCATCATTTGAATAGTAGGATGTCTTGCTCACAGACATCCGAAGGCCGCTGTTGGACGGCATTCGTGTTGCAGCCTTGGCATTAGGTTGGAATAAATAGCACATCCTACTGGGATCCATGAATATGATGAGGCTTCTCTTAGAAACTTCAGCATCAGAACGCTGCAAGCCCCACTCTCCAAAAACATGGTGAGCAGCCTGCTATCGCTTTTTCTGCAGAGGATAGCATTTGAATGTTTTCAGATAGACTCCTCAAAACTGGCGCCCTCATTTCAGCTCAGGGAAGCAGCCGTAGACTCCTCTTTAACAAAGGAATACGTTTGGGCCTGTGTGGTAAATTCTGCACTGGAGAGAGGACTGTACGTAGAAGAGCTATTGTTTTCTCCATGGGTTTCCAGAAAACAGAAAGAAATTAAATTAGCTACTAAGACTCCTTTTTTGCCGGTGGGCACTGAATTCTTTTTCTTCCATCACTGCTTCTGGCTCATCCGTCACCGTCCCTCAGCTGCCCTGGGAGGCAGAAGATCATAGATTGGCAGTAATTGGAAAGGAAAGTGTGATTACTGTTGGGGTGCCCTGTATCCCTCAAGCTGCAAATGCTTTTCCCTAGTCAGGACCAGGGAGAGGGGGTGTCCTCATGCCAAAAGTAGCGTACACCCCCATACCGAGTAATAAGATGTTTACTATTTGAGAATCTTCCTCCCGTGTTCTGTTTCAATTATATCTATCTATCTATCTATCTATCTATCTATATATATATATATATATATATATATATATATATTTTTTTTTTACTTAAAGTAATTTATGGTAATATCTGAGGTTTCTTTTTCTGCCTCATTTTAAACCAAAATCCTTGGGGCTGACTCCCAATCACCTGCATTTCCTGACTTTGTTACTTGTATCTTGGCAGCCCTTTAGTGAAGTTTAGGACCAAAGCAGTGGCGAGATATCTAGTAGGCTAGATATACAGCTACTTCCTCTTAATTCAGTGGATAGAAAGATTTGTACTAATAGCGTTTGTGGACAGGATATCATGTCTGCGTCTTGTACTATGAATAACCACTAAGAAGACAACAGTGTGCAATATATTAATTATTGAAACTGTCTTACTAATCGGTTTTAAAACTGTCTCATTGCTATTTGTTTCTCAATAAAATTATTTTTAAAAAGATTTTGAGTTTTGTTAGAATCTTGCCTATTTGGAACAATCAGAAGAGAAATTGTGCATTTTAGCCTAGAAACTATAGAAACAGGAGCCAGCTGCCTGTCTTCTATGATAATTCATCATAAAAGTAAACCTATCCAATCTAAAAGATTAAAACTTTCCAAACATTGTCCTGGTAAATGAAAAGTTGACGTAAAATAGATTGAGCGCAAACCTTAATCCAGTGGTGGCAAGCCTGTGGATGCCACTCGGGCCAAAGCAGGCACACAGAGCCCTCCCATTTGGCCCTCAAGCCAAGTAGCCCCAGGGTTGCCCCAGCCACCAGGCATCGGAGAACATAGGGATTATGCCCATGCTTGAAAAGGAGTAGCAGTGCCAGGTGTTGGCATCTAGAACAGTTCGGGCATTCTATCTATAAAAGGTTCACCAGCACTGTCTTACCCCAAGCCACCTCCTGGTCTGGTCTAGTTCTGGTCTGGAGTTCCTGCCCCTTAACACTTCCTAAGTAGTTGGACAATTCTTAGGGTGTGATGTTGTCATCTTGAACGTCTCTGGGGAAATCTCAGCAGTGGAGTTGATTCAGACTCTTAAAATCTTTCAGCTCTAACACTCCACGAAAGGCAGTGTTTGCTGGAAGCATGCAGCTGCTGGCTGGAGTCAAGCTGTGCACTGGAAGGACCTTAACCAACCACCCTCACTATGAAGACAACAGCTTGAGGGAACGAACCAAAGCGGTAAGGCCCAGCTCTGCCTTTTCTCACTTCTAGTGAGCTCAGCAACCCTACATGGGCAAAGATGGGCTTTGCTCCTCCAGTGTGCAGTATGGGGCGCAGGCCCAAGGTGTGTATCTCCTCATCCCAACAGCAGCCTGTTAAAAGCTGTTGAGGCAGCAACCTCCTTACAGAGGAGTAACCAAGAAATGAGAAAATCAACACCCTGGAATGTACTAAAGAGTGTTTCGGGCAAAGCCCTTAGAGCTTTTGAACTGGAGAGGGAAAGACACTGAGTAGACATGGCAACATTTATATAAATTGTTTCCTGGACCATTTCTAATTGTAGAGGTTTGTGGGGTGTTTTTGTTTTGTTTCTGTTTTTGTTTTTTGTATTTAAGACAAGGTCTATAGGGTCTCATTGCATAGATCGGACTCGTAGTGATCCTCCTGTTTAGCGCCTCCCGAGTGCTGGGATTACAGGTGCGCGCCATCATGCCCAGTCTCAACGCTGTCTCAGCATGCCCTTGGGGGCAGAGCCGGCATGCCAGGCCCAGGATCAGACCCCAGCCCCTGCTCCTGCCTAAGCAGGCACTTTAATCCACTGAGCTATTTGGCCGGCCCTAGTTTTGTTGCTGAGTTTGGAAAATTTTTCTATTTTGTTTCTGTGGTACTAGGGGTTGAAGTCAGGGCCTTTAAAACAATTACTTTTTTATTTATTTATGTATTTTTATTTATTTATTTATTTTTAGATAGGGCCTCACCAAGTTATTCAGGCTGGGCTTGAATTGGCAGTCCTCGTGCCTCAGCCACCCAGAGTGCTGGAATTACAGGCATGCGCTGCCACACCCAACTGTTGCTACTGTTTTCTTAAATAGGTAATATAGTGCCATGCTTCAGAGGTCGTAACATATGAAAGGAAATATAACACCAAGTCTCTGTCCCATCCAGGTGTCTCAGCTACTAGTTCTCCTCCCAGGCGGTATTAGTGTTAGCAGTTTCTTCTTTATCCCTCCTCTGGTATCATATGCCTCTATAAACAAGTACACACACACACACACACACACACACACACACACACACATTCATATTATTTTCTAATTTAACTTAGCAACAATATACCCTGCTTTTTGATAATATATTTTAGGAATCATTCTTTCTTAGTATATTAGTAGCTAAAGATATGTTATATGTAGGTGTAGCATACTTCATTTAACCACGTGGGCTGACTCCCATCCTCTGTAATCATGCATGCAATGCTCCAAATAATAAACCTGGATATGCAGCTTTATGAATGCAGTGATACCTGTGTACATCAGGCCTCAGCTGTGACACACCAGGGACACAGGGTGGCACTGTCCCTGCCCCCTCGGGGCAGTTGCGTCTCCCCACATTCCAGTCTGAAATGCAGGAGCACATCTGTTACCTTTGGTCCTCACCACTAAGAGTTCAAACTTTAATGACTTTTCCTGAGTGTCCTTTTTTTTTTACATGGAAATCATCTCCACTGAGACTCCTGCTAGAATAGGGGTTTGTCAGTTGGCCCAAGTGTCTGAGACAGTTCCAGGTTCAGTGGAAGTGTGGCAAGTTCGGGAAGACGTGCTGGTCAGGCTGGAGCGCTGCAGAAAACACCACCCTCTCCAGGAGGGACCTGTGTGGCTGCTCCCTTAAAACACACATCGCAAAGGTCTCCATGCTCATCTTCAGGTGTGAACTTGGATTTCTGGAAGGCCTCCGTCAGCACCTTCTGCCTGGCTATTGGAGGACAGCCTCACAGTCCTCTCAGTGGAAGCAGCTCACCTGCCTCCCATTTTACCTTTGAGTGTGAGCTGCCAAATTAGGCCCTCCCACTTGATCCCCTGGATTCCCATCACTGAGAACCACGGCTGCCCAGGAAGCACTTCTCTTACCTGCCCCCGCTCTCCATGCAGCTTTCCCCAGGGCCAGGTCCCAGAGCACAGTCCATATATTCACGGGGTGCCTGGCAGGCATTGTGCACAGGCCAGCACAGCTTCCTTGTGCTCAGGGAAGGTAGGGAGCGGTGATGCTGTTAGTGTCCTCTGACCAAGCAGTATGCAGTGTAGTGGCTACAGGACAAGTACTGCCCCAGCTGAGGACCAGGGACCCCCACCTGTGCCAGCAGCAGCAGCTGGGTCTTCCTTATAACACATGACCCCAAACTGTACCATCACCTACACTGGACTGTTTTGTTTTGGGTCCCCTTTGTTGTCTTACTCAGCTGGGTTATTTACCTTAGTAAGAACTGGCATCTACTGATGAATATGTTCTTAAGTCCAAAGAGCCCATCCCCACTCCAAGTGTATTTGGTGTCTGAATCCAAATGTGTTCAGCATGACTCACAACCCCCTCCCCACAACCAGATAGTTATAATATTCTTTTGGAAATTTCCACTGCACACCACAGGACCACAGAGAAGTGATCACAGCAGTGGCCTTGGCAGGCATGGGGGAGACCTGTGTGTCCACCTCAGAGTCACCTCCATGGGAGGTTACAGCACGTTCCTTGATTAGCTCACAAATGGCTGAGAAGGATTTTGCCTTACTGCATTTTGAAGGTTTATCAGATATACGCAAAGAGGTCTCCAGAGGAAGTGCACAGCCTCCTGAAGTCCTTTGGCACTGACTACGTGATCCTGGAGGACAGCATCTGCTACGAGCGCAGGCACCAGCGGGGCTGCCGGCTGCGGGACCTGCTGGACATCGCCAATGGACACGTGAGCATGTCGCCTTCCACAGCAGGCCTCTAGGAGTGGGGTTTCCATCAATTCAGATCCTGAAATCCTTTTGCTTTGTGTGTGTGTGTGTGTGTGTGTGTGTGTGTGTGTGTGTGTATTTCTTATGCTTTTTTTTTCCTTTTTCCTTTTTTTCTTGAGCACTGAAAATTGAGCTCAGGACCTTGACACTGAGCTATATCCCCAGCCCATTATTACCTCTTATTTTGAGACCAGCTGTCCCTAAATCACTAAGTTGCCCTAGCTGACTTGAACTTAGAATCTTCCTGCCTCAGCCTCCCAGAGTACTGAGATTATAGATGGCAGCACCCTATTAGTATGGTGTCCTATGTCGAGTGCTCTGTCCCTTCCACTCTGCAGAACCCCTCCATACATGTTAGTGGCTACCACAGGTAAGGGATGATGGGCTCTTGGGTCCCCAGGTCTGTGTCACACAGCAACTCTGGCTGGCTGGTTGGCATGATATGGCCCTGCATAAAATTTAAACAAAGAACTAACCTTTAACCTCTTCAAGCTGTGCTCCAAGCCACCTGTTGGCGCATCCTGGCTGCTGCCAGCTGCAGGTCACCTGTCTCCAGGGGCAGGATCTGCTCTCCTTGCCATTCCTTCTTCCCCTGCCCTCTTGGTGTCCTGCATCTCCCACACACAGCCACAGAGGTGGCCTTCTGCAGCTAAGCTTACACTCCAAAGCAAAAAAAACAAGCTCTGCGTCTTTCCTGTGCCTCCAAGGACCAAATTTTTGATGTGCTGGTTCTCAAAGAGGAACCGCTGCCTTTAGAACCAGGGCTGGCAGTGGGTATAAAAGCCGAGGTTGGTGTGTGAATGAGTGGGATGAGGTGACAAGCCCAGTCTACACCTGAAAACAAATCAGCAACTTGAGATTCAATTTTTTGCCCAAGAAAAATAATAGTAACTTTCTTAAATTCAGAGGCAGTCAAGACCACTGACCTACATTTAAATGTTGCTCCTTGTATGGCTTTTTCTCACTTGTGCATCTAATGAGGTGGAAGGCTTTCTTTGCTCAGAATAGGCCTGTGTATTTTGTTTTTGTGAGAGGGACGATATGTAGCACATGTCTAGGAACCAAGAGATCTAGTTCTGACCTTACCATTAATGGTGACCATTGTGTGCTGCTCAACCCCCCTAGTTGGCCTAGCTCTGCACTTCTGAAGAGGAAAAAGGATAACTCAGGTGATTGTTAGCAGCCATTGGCATTGAAGTAATATTGTTTCACTAATGTGTTCTTAAGGAAACCTGGTACCTACGAGGTACGATAAGGAATTATATGGTAAATTTTATTACCTGTAAAAGATATATTGCCATTAGTCCTCCTCGAGATCCTCCCCCTTGCTTCAAACACAGCCCGTCGTTATCACCACTTTCTGAAGTGGTTCTGGGAGCTCTCATTCACGAGTGTCTCTAGTTGCACTGTTGTGGCTGCCTCAATGTCCAAATCCACTCAAAGTGGACAGTTTTCATGGTCAGTTTCACTGTGGCAAAGAGCCAGGAGTCATGGTGCCAGATCTGGTAGGTAAGGTGGATGAGGACACAAAGTCTTGTTTTCATTTTTATTTTTTTGTAACGTTTTTGACAGACAGTACCTTAATTGGTTGATTGAGAAAAATCTACAGTGAATATTTAAATTAAAAAAACTATGGCAGTAAAAGATATATTACGATCAATGCTCTTAAAATGCTCCTCTTCAAACACTTATCATTCTTGACAATGTGCCTTTTACTGTATTTTCAAAAATTCAGTATTCACTGTATTTTTGTGTTCTCCTGCCGTATCCTCAAGAGTGTTTCACCCCCAAATGGAATGTGGGTTTGTTTTGGTTTAGATGATGGACGGCCCAGGAGAGAACGATCCTGACTTGCAGGCTGCTGACCACCCTCGCTTCTGCGAAGAGATCAAAAGGAACCTGCCTCCCTACACAGCGCACTTTACCAGGGTGTTTCAGAACAAGACCTTTCACGTCTACAAGCTGTCCAGGAGCAAGTAGTAGACACTCCGGGCCCTTCTCCGTTATGGACACAGTGCAACTGTATCCTATAGAGAGTTGGTAGCAGATGTTTCCAGGGTGAATGGGTCACCCGTACCCAAAAGCTGTGATGTGCAGGCATCCTGCAACTGTTTACACAAGTGTCACCATCTTCCAAAACCTGAAGTCTTCTTCTGCCTTGTTTTTCTCTTTCCCATGTTCTAATGTTCATTAACTAAATGTTCACAACTTCCAGAGACTCATCTCGGCTTTGGCTCTTGGGTAGAACGGTATGTGTTCCAGGATGCATGGACTGCTGCATACCGTGCTGACAAAGAGCCTGATCCGCGTCAGAAATGCTTTTGAACTTCAGGTACCTTATAGGACAGCTCTGACTGAGTGGAATGGAGAGGATGCGTAGTTAAATTATTTAATGTTATTTCGTGGACAGAGATTAGTTCGTGGCTTTTTAAAAAGGTCTTTGTTGTCCTCCTTCATTTTACGATTTTATAATGTTTTCCAATTTTCCTGGTTTTAACATGAACAACAAAAAAAAATGTTCGGTCTTTGTATGTATTTTAAACATCATGTACTCTGTCTGAGACTTACATATCCAGTGGTCTGTGTTGTACATGAACAGTGTTTTAATGCTGGGCACAGAAAAAGTGTTACACATTCTGTGTGGTTCAATTCTCAGAAGTCTGTGTAGGCAAGTAGAATTCATTACTTTTTAGTCTTATTAAAAAAAAACCTATTGATACTCAAATCTTTCCTGCAAGTGAAATAGTTTGCTTCATTTCTTACTCATTTCAATTTACTGGGTTTGCAGAATTTTGTAAACTTTTTGTGTTTTTAGCCTTTGTATTTTTTACAGCCTAGAACCTTGCAAATTGGGAATATTTTTGAACATCGTATCTTGACTAGTTCACTAATGCAGTATTTTTGGCAGACAGCATTTTCATACCAAGTTTGATGTGGTCTCCAATCTTACCCTGTGGGCCCTGGTAACATCTCGCTTTTCCGAACTAGAAGGTAACCAAGTGCCTCTAAGTCGTGCTTATTTGTTAACAGCAAAGAAGGTTATTACACGTACCTGCTCAAAATTTGTGATAATTGCTTTTATAATTCATTTCTAATAATTAGGGACATGTAAAAGTTGCTGATAAAAGCATATTGTCCACTTAATTAAATCAAGCTGGCTAATGAAATTAACTTTCTCTCCTGTTCTTGCCGGTTGGAAATGATTTAAATGTTTCTCCTTGCAGTTGTATTGAAGTAAATTGCCATCAGCGTCAAGATGGACGACATCACATGCACGCGTGACTTTGTATACAGCCACTACTTACTAAGCCACGCTCAAAAACATTTTTGCACTGTCTTGTTGAACATAAGGATACTTGGCTTTTATCAAAACGTATTTAAATAAAAAATTGGCAGGAGCTGGGTTATTAAATTATGCAACTGAAACTCCTGAATTATATCTTTCCTGTACTCCTTAATAAGGTTGGAGACCACTGCAGTTTAGGATAATACAATAATAAAACATTTTAATCAGTACTAAAACTTTAATTAAGCCAGTAATGATGCATGCCTGTTGTAGCTGACAGCATGGGTCAGTACATCCCTCGGCGGTGCCTTACTTTAATTGAAAGCAAGCACATGTAAGGTACAATATGTTGACACTGTGTGATTTTGGTTTTTTACAAACTCTGTCACTTCTTTAAGCCTGTTTAAATTTATTTTAAATATTCCTCTGTGTATTAGTCTGAGTGTTTAGAGTCTCACTAGTCAAGGAGCATGTACTTAAATTCCTGTGCTCATCCTCACCACGTTGATGGCATACACTGATTTTTTTTTCATAGTGATACTGTTGCCAAAACATTTAGTGTTCAGTCTTTAGTGAAAAATACAAAGTGCCAAAAAATATTGCAAGCCTGCAATCCATAGATACGCTCTTTCCAAGACACTGTGACCAGGCACAGTAGCTTTTATTTCCTGATGATCCAATTTCACAACAAACCATGTTAGCTATTGTTAGCACCTGTCAGGCTTCTTGTTTATGACCTTGTTGTTGGAGCACACGGGAGGAAATGGGGAGAGCATCTGGTCTGGCTGTGGCTTCCAAGCTCTCTGCAAACCGAAGCAAAAGCCCTGTGGCCCAAACTCCCCTCTGCACCAGCCTGAGGGGCTGTTCCATGTTTGGTAATAACCTTGAATTATAGCTTTCTCTTTCTGGACAGAAACACCCTCTGCTTTTGCTCCTGGCTTAGCGGTCTAAAAACCTTCTAAGTACAGTAGAAGTGCTTATAATCGGCCCCACTGTGATCCCCCAGAGCACTAGGTCACATCCCTTGGGGCGGAGGGCACAGCCCGGTGGCCTTGTGCCTTCCCAGGGCTCTTGTTCCCACCTCCACGGGCTGCTGTCCCAGAGCACTCCCTGCAAGTTCCAATTGTGAGCTTGCAGCTCACTCAGCTGTGTGTAAACCTAGGAGATGTGGGTGTAAAGAGAAAGAATTGTTTCTACAAAAATTAGGTTGAATGCTTCTATAAGATTGGATCCATGCTGAATTGCTAATAAAATTGCTTTTCAGTTCACTGCAATTTGAAAGATTTTTAAAATACTGGGGAAAACCTAAAAAATCAAGAAAATTTGTCAGGTATTCTTTCCACCTCTGAAGTACCTAAACCAAGGACAATATTAAAATATACCCAAATCTGGAGCCGGGGAGATGGCTCAGTGGAATAAGCGCTTCCCTGGCAAGCTCAAGGGCCTGAGTTCAATCCCCGGTTCTGCCAAAAAAAAAAAAAAAATGTACCCAAATCATGTTGTTGGTGTGATTTATGCAAGAAGTAGAACTGCAATCACTGGATTGTTGTGCAAAGGAAAGACCTGGGCTTCATGGCCAAATACTTAGAGGTGTGAAGCAAGGGCAGAACATGAGCCTAACAACTGGGGCCTATGTGCAGCATCAGGGAAAGGATATATTACGCTAACCTGTCTTACCCTACTTAATTAAGCTCCCAGCTCCCTGCAGTAATCACAATTGGCTAATAAAAACTCTACTCAAGTTGAAAGATCCCCATCACTTTTATAATAGACTTTTATAGAACAGCAGTTCATTTCAGATGTATTAGGAGGTTGGTTAGTGAAGAATGATGTAGGCCATCTGCTGTCTCTTAAAGATGATTTTCCTGACCTGTATGAGTCCAGTTCAGTATAAGTCGTGTGTGTGTGTGTGTGTGTGTGTATGTTAGGTCAGTGCTGCTAGGGACAAGGACCGTGTATAGGTATTTCATCTGGTCTACATCTTTATTTCACAATTAACTAAGAATAAAAAGAAGTATACCGACTCCACATTTAATTTTTACTGTGATGTCAAAGCTTTGGTTTATCCTTGACCAAAATGTACCTGAAGTAACATAGAAATATTTAATTTTAAAAAATTGAATTCAGACCTTGGCATTACTAGGGAGGTATCGGGTTTTTCTCAGATCATGTGTTCTGGTTAATATGCTGACAGATATTTTATAAATGACCACCTTTTAGCCTAAGAGAGAGTGATTGTTCGTTCATTGGGGGGGGGGAACGCTTTTAAGAAGAAAGTGGCTCACTTTCTTGTGGCAGTTGATGCTCTGTTTTTAAAATCCTGGGGGTAAAATCTTACAAAGAGCTTTTATAATTTGTTGTACTGAGTTGTATGGAGATTATATACTAAATAAAGCTCTTTTAGATTACACAAAATGAGTCTCAGTTCTCTCAAAACCAAGGAACGTACTTTATTGGGAAGGATGGGTTGAGACAAGGTTTCACTATGTAGTAGGATCCGTCCTTGAACTCACTATGTAGCCCAGCTGGCCTTGAAGTGACAGTGATCCTCCTGCCTCAGCCTCCTCAATTCTGGGAGGAACCTGCTTGTTGAAATGCAGTAAATCTGTACAAAATACAGTAACTCACTACAGATGGGTGTAGCAAGGTCTTCACTGTATTTATAACGTTGGAGTTCATTTCTTCCTGTGAACTTTTGTTCGATGACCAATGACTGGTTCATTCGACTCTGTGGTGTTCAAAATCGAAGTTGAAATTTCAGGCAGAAAGAAAGACACATAGAAAAACTGGCAGTGCAATCTCAAATATCTGCACAGAGGAGTGGGTTCTGACACAGGAAGAATCATAAATAATACAGTTAAGTGCAGCTATGAGTGGCCTGAACTTGTAACGGTTTGACTTGAAACGCCAGTCACTGAGCAGGTAAAAGGCTTTTGCACTGTTCCTGTCTTAAGAAAAGGTATCTAAAACTCATTGACTTTTCAGTTAATTTAATATTTGGAAGCTTGCTTTATGGGATTGTTTTCAAAAGGCAGATAATGTCACTACCAGTGTAATGGGAAATCCATTTGGTAGATTCCAGCCAACAGTTCAAAGGCAGGAGGGTAAGATGGGCTCACATGGTCAATGTGTTGTTCAGGGCAGTATTTGTTTCCATTATGCATGTAGGTATTAATGTACTGGGCACAATACAGAATGTCTTTCTCATTATAAGTTAGAGCCCTTGTTGGGAAGCCATGCCGTATAGTGGGTGGGGATTCTGGAAGGATGGCAGTCTGAAGTTGACTCTGCCCATGTCCCCAGACTTGACACTGACAGAACCACCTACACAATGGCAACGTTAAGGAACTATTTTTATACTTTTCAGGTATGCTATGTACATTTGTTTGGCTTTTTGAGACAGATTAACATGTAGTTCCTGTTAGCCCTTGAATTCACTTTTGTAGCCCAGGTTGGCCTCAAACTCATGGCAGTCCTCCTGCCTCAACTTCCAAATGCTGGGATTATAGGTGTGCACCCCCATTCCCGACACATTTTATTTTTAGATCTCTTAAAATATATATTGGAATATAAGGCAAAATTACATAGCCAGGATTTACATGAAAATTATTCTGTAATTTCATCTATAAATGAAATAAGATTGGCCATGAGTGACACAGTTTAAACTACTTTGCACTTTTTCAAAATGAAAAGAGAAACTAGAACCAACTATATAAACAAGGGAACTAAGATCACTTAAAAGGTAAAATCTGAAACAAATCAGAAATGATAGAAGGGATAAATAAAACTGTCCTTTAAAAAAAAATACAATAGATAATCTGGTAAACCTAATTTTTAAAATAGCGAAAATATCAAATACTAGTTATATGAGAGAAGATAATCCCAAAGGTAGGAATGGCATAATTATATGAGAAAAATATGTACAATCCTGTGAGAAAAATATAAAACTGAAAAAAAAATTTCCAGACAAAATAAAAATTGCCAGATGACCCTTGAAGAAGTTAAAAAGTTGAGTAGATACTTGGAATACCTGGCCGAGGTTTGAAAGGTCACAGAGAGCAAGAAAGGTGCATAGTGAAGGTGTTTCAGGAAAAGAGCTAGGTTTTGGGTGTTGATCAGTGCTAAAGTACAT